GAGCTAAAACTCTTATATTCCAAATGTTAAGATTTAATCAAATATTACTTTAAAATAAAACTAAATTAAGAAGAACAGGGAAAAAAGGAATTGAGAATATTTACTACCAGAAAGGTAGTAGGTAATTTTGGCCAAACCTTTTAATGAGGAAAACAAGAAAAAGTGAGCAAGTTTTTCATTAACTTACAGAAGGCATCAAAAAGACTTCTGCTTTCTGATCCAAGAGGTAAAGAGCTTCAAAGTTGTCACTTCCATCCTCACAATAAGAACAAAGCTGAAAAGCTGGAAGCTGTTGAAAAGCAACAACTCTCCTTAACCATCAGAGAAGACAGGTCACAGGGAAAACTGCTGTCCCAAAAACTAGAATGAGAGAGAGCTGATGTAATGGTTAATCCTACATGTTGACTTGACTGGGCAATCAGGTGCTCCAGTACTTGGCCAAACAGTATATAAGTGTTTCTGGAAGAGATTAACATTTGAACTGGTAGACTGAGTAACATGGATTAACCTCCCTAATGGGATAGGGCTCATCCAGTCAACTGAAGACTTGAATAGAAAAATTATTAATACAATACATCATATCAACAGGCTAAAGAAGAAAATACTCACATAATTTTACCTATAGATGCACAAAAAACATTTGAGAAAATCCAACACCCATTCATGACAAAAAATTCTCAGTAAACTAGGAAAAGAGAACTGCCTCAACTTCATAAAGAATAGCTACAGCAAACCTATAGCTAACAACAAACTTAATCATAAGAAACCAGAAGGTTGGTCGCCTGGGTGGCTCAGTGGGTTAAGCCTCTGCCTTCAGCTCAGGTCTTGAACTCAGGGTCCTGGGATCAAGTCCCGCATTGGGCTCTCTGCTCAGCAGGGAGCCTGCTTCCCCTTCTCACTCTCTCTCTGCCTGCCTCTCTGCCTACTTGTGATCTCTGTCAAATAAATAAATAAATAAAATCTTTAAAACAACAACAACAGGGGCACCTGGGTGGTTCAGTGGGTTAAGCCTCTGCCTTCAGCTCAGGTCATGGTCTCAGGGTCCTGGGATCGAGCCCTGCATCAGGCTCTCTGCTCAGCGGGGAGCCTGCTTCCTCCTCTCTCTCTCTGTCTACTTGAGATCTCTGCCTATCAAATAAATAAATAAAATCTTTAAAAAAAAACTATACAAATGGAAAATGGACATGTGAAAAAATGCTCAACATGTTATCTCATTAGGGTATTGCAATTTAAAATAAGAATGAGATACCACAGGGTGCCTGGGTGGCTCAGTGGGTTAAGCCTCTGCCTTCAGCTCAGGTCATGATCTCAGGGTCCTGGGATCAAGCAGGGAGCCTGCTTCCCCCTCTCTCTCTGCCTGCCTCTCTGCCTACTTGTGATTTCTCTGTCAAATAAATATATAAAATTAAAAAAAAAAAAAAGAATGAGGATACCACTACACATCTATTAGAATGTCCAAAATCTAGAACAATAACACCACCAAATGCTCCCAAGGCTATGAGGCAATAGGAACTCTCTTTTTGATGTATTCTGTCACTTATAATAAGAATGCAAAATGAGGGGCGCCTGGGTGGCTCAGTGGGTTAAACCCTCTGCCTTTGTCTCAGGCCATGATCCCAGGGTCCTGGGATCGAGCCCTGTATCAGGCTCCCTGCTCAGCGGGGAGCCTGCTTCCTCCTCTCTCTCTGCCTGCCTCTCTGCCTACTTGTGACCTCTGTCTGTCAAATAAATGAATAAAATCTTTTAAAAAAATGCAAAATGATATAGCCAGTTTGGAAGACAGTTTGGCAGTTTCTTACAAAACTAAACATATTTTATCATATAATCTTAAGTATATACCCAAATGAGTCGATAACATGGCCACACAAAAACCTGCACATAGACACGCAGCTTTATTCATAATTGCCCAAACTCAGAAGCAAGCAGGATGTCCTTCAATAGGTAAATGGATAAGTAAACACGGTACAGCCACACAATGGAAAATCATTCATTACTGAAAAAGTAACTGATCAAACCATGAAAGTATATGCAAGAGGAAAATTAAATGCATATTACTATATGAAAGAAGTCAATCTGAAAAGGCCACATACTGTATGATTCCAACTACATGACATTTTGGGAAAGGCAAAACTATGGAGACAGTAAAAAGATCAATGGTGGCCAGGAGTTAGTGGAGAAGGAAGATGACCAGTGGAGCACAGAACTTTTAGGACAGTGAAACTGTTTTCTATGGCGTTATTAATGGTGGATATGTGTCATTATACATTTGTCCAAACCCATACAATATATAACACCAAAAGTAAACTACACTGTAAACTATGGACTTTGGGTGATTGCTGATGTGTCAATGTAAGTTTCTTGACCACTCTGATGGGAGATATTGACAATGAGGGAAGTCCTGGTACTGGTGGGTGCTGGTGTTATATGGAAAATCTCTGTGCCTTCTTCTTAATTTTGTTTGAACCAAAAACTACTTACTCTAAAAATTAAAGCCTTTTTTTTTAATGGAAACACTAAAAAAACGAAAGAAAGAAAGAAAGAAAGAAAGAAAGACAGACAACTAAAAAGAAAAGAAAAATTTGAAAGCAGCCAGAGAGAAATGATGCATTACTTATAGAGGAATCCCACTTGGAAGTATAGTCAATTATGAGACATGGAATATAACCCTATTCTATGGAGGCCAGAAGGAAGTAGCACAATATTTTTTTAAGTGCTACAAGAATTGCCAGTTTCAAGGAAAATTTGTCTCACTTTTGTCCCACAATAGTTCTGATACCAGATATGTAGGTTTTTCCACTCCAAGCAATTCTCCAATTCCTAGCAGACACCAACCAGGTGTCCTACAATTTAACTCAATTCTAACACTAATTGCCTTCAGTTGGCACAACCCCACACAGGTTAAGGGCTCAGTCCCACATGATGTTTCCCTCACTCTTCCATTTCAGATACCAGTCCCAGGTTATCACCTGTATTTCTGATCAACAGCCTAAAAATCAGGGTTCCTATGGCCCCCTCTCCGAGTCTGATAATTTGTTAGAACTGCTCACAAAACTCTGGGCAACACTTAGCTTTATCAGTTTATTATAAAGGATACAACTCAGGAAGAGATAGAAGAGATGCATAGGAAAAAGTATAGGAAAGGTACATGGAGCTTCCATGCCTGCTCTGGGCACTTCCAGCACCTCAGTGAAATCCTGCACTTCCAGCACTTCAATGTGCTCACCAACCTGGAAGCTTGCCAATCTCTGTCAGTTAGGGTTTTATGGAGACTTCATTATGTAGGGATAGTTGATTAAATCATTGGTTCTTGGTAATTAACTCAACCTTTGGCCCCTCTCCCCTCTCCAGATGTCAGAGTTGGTAGGGGCAGATGCTGAAAGTTCCAACTCTCCAGTCACACAGTTTAGTCCCCTGGCAACCAGTTCTTCCTCATCCTGAGAGGCTTTTTAAAAGTTACCTCATTAACATAAATTCAGACATGCCTGAAAAAGTCTTGTTATGAATAACAAAAAAATGCTCTTCTGATCATTTTCACTCAGGAAAGTCCAAGTATTCTAGGAGCTGTGTAGCAGAACTGGGAATGAAGACTAAATATATATTTCTCATTATATCACATAATATCACACACCTGCAAATTCCATATCTGGCAAAAGTATGTTTCAGGAAGAAAATTACGATATTAATGTTATAGGAAATGAAGACAGGATCCAAGTAATGACAAAATTGACAACACCATTCATAATAAAAACTCTCAGTGGCCTCTGTTAATTAACAACCTATACTTTATGCTTAATTTTGCTGCGAACCTAAAACTCCTTTAAAAAGAATGTCTATATGAAAAGGGAAAAAAATATTTGATGTGATGTGTAAAAAGCATTATGACAGTTTAGAGGGTAAATGCTTTTAAATACCACTTCCATGTGGTATATATATACAATGGAATACTATGCAGCCATCAAAAGAAATGAAATCCTGCCATTTAGAACGACGGGGATGGAACTAGAGGGTATTATGCTTAGCGAAATAAATCAATCGGAGAAAGACAACTATCATATGGTCTCCTGATATGAGGAAGTGGAGATGCAATGTGGGGGGCTTGGGGGGTAGGAAAAGAATAAATGAAACAAGATGGGATCGGGAGGGAAACAAACCATAAGAGACTCTTAATCTCACAAAACAAACTGAGGGTTGCTGGGGGGAGGGGGGTCGGAAGAGGGTGGTGGGGTTATGGACATTGGGGAGGGTATGTGCTATGGTGAGTGCTGTGAAGTGTGTAAACCTGGCGATTCACAGACCTGTACCCCTGGGACTAATAATATATTATATGTTTATAAAAAAATAAAAAAATTTTTAAAATAAATAAATATCACTTCCATCATTCACCAAATCAAATTCCAATCAAATATTTTTTCTTCTAAACCTACATCTTAAAAATCAAAACACTGAAAAAGAGAATACAGCTAAAACTGATATCAAAACAGTAATGGATAAGTACTTTCCAAGCTTTGAAGCCTAGAAAGAAATTACTAATTTTTGTTAATTTCAGCATATAGAATGAGGATAATTTTGTTACTTGCCATGCCTGATTCTCAATGAATCTATCTTCAAAGACCAAAGTTTCTGGAACAGAATTCTATCCTAGGACTCATCACTCCTATAGCAAGTGAGGATATCCAAGGAGGAGAGAGGCTCTCTGTGCCTGAATTCCTTCAGTAGTTAGGGACCACTGACCTACATCCATCTGTACTGACCAATGCCTTTGAAAGTTAGACGTTTACATGCAGGCCACAGCCTGTTTAAAGGGAGCCCTTTCAGAGCAAGCAGAGCAGGCTCTATCCACAGAATGGATATTCTGGAGATAACAAGTGGAGACTCAGACATCCTAAGAATAATGAAGAAAATACAAAAAGGGTCAACCCTTATACTAGTCTAATAAAGTCTCAGAACTAGAAATTCAGACTATAAATTCTTGAACTAATTACTTAGATGCCAACACTCACGTGGTCACAGTGTTGAAGCCACAGGCCTTCAGCTTCAGCAAGCGGTCCCTCCAATACTCCCTGGGCACCCGGAAATAGTGAATAGTACCTGCTATGATCAGGAAAGGAAAGCCATCTAGTGTGAAGCTTGAGCCTTCAACTTTCAGACCCACATTGCGATTTATTATGTGGGAGGGAGTCAGGGAAACTTGATTCATCCTGCAAGGACAAAGAAGGTGTTTGAAGTCCTCAAGATGTTACCATGTGGCACACAGTTTGGGCAAATCCAAAAGGCCTTTCCTTCAGGGGCTCTAGGCACGCCTCCAGTGCAAAGAGAACTTCCCAACCCTTCTCCAACATACCTGGGTGAGAAGTCTCCTCCAAACTGAGCTGTTACCAATAACCCTGAAGACAGGTACAGGATGCTCATAGGTCTCAACAAAAAGGTCAGCATGCTAAACAGAGAGGACAGAACTGAAGTCAGACATCCTGGAGGCAGAGAAGGAGGTGGGAGCTGAGTGAGGCCTTGCCTGCTGAGGTGGGTGAGCAGCACAGAAGTGGCCTCACTGGAAGGCAGGACCAGGACCCACGACAGACTTGGGGGGGGGGGCAGCTGCAACGAAGAGCCTCCTGATAGTAACTGGGTTTTCTGACCCCTGTTACATTTTAGAGAAGATCAAGCCTCAGTCCAGTAAATTTCACAGAATAGAATATAATCTCTCCAAAATTTGTGAGAGACCTTCTACTAGTAAGGAATGAGCCCTGCTTATCAGAGAACACTCACTGGAATGTAGGACTCTCTCTGCAGCCGGGTGCCAATTTCTATCCCCATCCCAATTTTCTACTTCTCTGCTACTGTAGGACGCCATCTAATTAGTTCCCAGAACACACTCAGCATTCGTGTAGCTACTGATCTTCTTTATGCGGCTCACCCGGGGGCAAATGCTCTTTCCTTAGGTATCAAAAGTTCTATGAGTCCGATGCAGGCTGAACCAGGGCAGCCTAGCCCAGTCCTGGGGCTGCGCAGCTTCTAGCACGGGGAAGCGCTCTGCATGGGGCGTGGCTGGGTGCTCGCTACCCAGAGCAGCGCCTGAATTACAGCAAGTGCTCAACTAATGTTTTCTGAACAAAGGAGTCGCCGCAATCGGTAAAACATCTGTGTCGCTTCCATAGGCTTCAGCTTTATCATGGGCTTCTTGAGGACTCCTTAGGCAGAGTTGGGAGGGTAGAAAGCAACAGTTTTCTGTAGGGAAATAGGATGGAAAAGAGAATGGGGCCCAGAGATTAGAGAAGACAAACCCCCTGGGCACCACTCGACTCTTCACTGTGGGCGTGAAGAGTCCGGGAAGACGGACTGAGATCAGACGACGCTCAGAGATTTCCGGGGAGAAGACAGGACAAAGCAGAACCTCCAGGGAACCTGACCGAAGGGCCTAGAGAAAAATTCCAGAAAGTGAGGAAACCCGAGGGGCTGTCTGGGTTGACACGGCTCAGGGCTGCGGGTGGGCCCAGCGCTGGGAGAGGCCACCGCGCGGGAGGTGCGGAGAGGCCCCGGGGCTGTCGCGGGCGTGGGTGCTCCGGTGGGCGCTCGGGCCAGAGCCTACCTTACCCTGGGCCGGACTGCTCCTTCCCCAACTTCGCAGCGTTAGGTCAGTAGCGGCCGCCAGGTGGGGGACAGAGCGGGAAAAGAGCCGGCTGCGCGCTTCTCCCGGGGTAGCCTCCGCCGGCAGTAACCTCCCACCTCCCGCACCCTTCCCCTACCTCAGATAGCCCGCCCCCGCCTCAGGCCTCACTCTCCGCAGACCCGCTCCCCGCCCCGCCCCGGGCAGATCCTCCCCCACACCCGCCCCCGCTCCACGGCAGAACGGCTTCCACCCCCAGCCAAGCACATCCTTGCGGTGTACTCTCCCTGCCATCCGTTGATCCACCCCCAGCCCCCGAGCCCGGGGGGTTGATAAGCCGCAGCCCTGACTCTGCCCAGAGGAGTGCGGCCGTCGCAGTGAGCTCAGCGGGCCCTCTGTGCCCTCTTGGTCTGCCAGAGGCCGGCTCTGGCCTTCGGGGACTCCGTCAGCTGTGACAGCTAATAGTTGAGGAGCGCTGTCAGCGGAGTGCGGACGGCTTTCCATCCGTTCCCCCCGGATGGACGGCTTTCCATCCGTTCCAGCGCAGACCCTGCGCTGCTAACCCCCTCCGCCCCTTTTCTTTCTCTGGGACCCACTTAGGCGCCCTTCCCAGGCCCGGCGCTGCGGGAGGAAAGCCGGCTCAGCAGAGCCACTGGCACACTCGCTGGGTCACGGCAGGAGATTCATTCCCGGAGCGTCCAGGTTGGGGGCAGGGGTGTCCTCCTCTCCACAGGGACCGCAGCTCCTCCATCTGGGTCGCTTCAGCGCGCGTTCACTAACCACAGTCCCCCGGTGCTAGGTGCTGAGAACACAGATAAGGAATATCCCTTTCCCCCTGTAGGGAATGCCTAACAAGGCCAATCTACATCCTGGAGGAGGAGGACCATTTTCCTTTACCCTGCCTACCCTACTGCTAGTAACTCAGCTGGGAGTAGCGGCTCACAAAGTGTGGTGTGGGTGAGCCTTACCAACACGCAGATGCTTTGTCCCATTTTGGACCTACGGAATCTGAAACTCTGGGCAATACTAACGTACGCTAAATTTGGGGACTACAGGTCTACAGCTTCCCTCTCCACTCCTCGCCCTTGTCTCCGCAGGAAAAAGGACATCTGAGGCAAAATGGGGGGTCCCAAGTAGAGGTGGAGAGGCTCTAAATTAATTTCACCGGTGCAACTGCACCTGTGTGGTTGTGCTGCTCCTTTCAGCTTTTGGCTCCCTCTGGATGGGAGATCAAGCTCCATTTATAATTCTCAGCTGTTGTGGATATTGTTACTATAAATTTTGGGGGTGCAGGTGCCCCCTTCTGATCACTACATTTGTAGCTTTTATTTATTTATTTGACAGAGGGAGAGCATAAGCAGAGAGAGCAGCAGAGGGAGAGAGAGAAGCAGGCTCCCCACTGAGCAAGGAGCCCAGTGGGGAGGGGGAATCCCAGGACTGAGCCAAAAGCAGATGCTTAATGGCCTGAGCGGACTGAGCCACTCCGGTGCCCCTGGATGTTAGTACTTTGCTAAAGGCAAAAGGCAATCTTAGTCCGACCTCCACACATTTCCCCCCCCCCCAACCCAACCTGTAAGTCTGTAAGTCTACTTTAACATATAAAAATTCCTTTGGGGGACGCCTGGGTGGCTCAGTTGGTTAAGCAGCTGCCTTCGGCTCAGGTCATGATCCCAGCGTCCTGGGATCGAGTCCCACATCGGGCTCCTTGCTCATCGGGGAGCCTGCTTCTCCCTCTGCCTCTGCCTGCCATTCTGTCTGCCTGTGCTTGCTCTCTCTCCCTCTCTCTCTCTGACAAATAAATAAATAAAATCTTTAAAAAAAAAAAAAATTCCTTTGGAAACTTGGTTTATCCCTGCCCCCCAAGATATGTATTGGTAATCATCCCCAAGCATAGGGCCTGCAAATATACACCTGAAGGGTCTCATGACTAAGATTTTATTAGACAGTAGTAAATGACCTTTCCTAACAATAGCTAACCCCTCAAGGTCCTGGAAACTTGCTTCCAAATTCCTTAGAGACTTATGCTATTCCTAATCCTCTCCCAACTTGAAAGTATATAACCAACTCCTCATAACCCCAGTGCAGCTCTTTCTGCCCAAGGATCTGTCCCCATGCTTTAATAAAACCATCTTTTTTGCACCGAAGTCACCTCAAGAATTCTTTCTGGACCATTTGCTCCTGAACCCCAACATTTTCATATCATTACCCACACTGTTTCACCTACCAAATTATATAACTTCACTTACAATAAAATTTATTTCATCACCAAGAAGTAAGATTCTAAAATTCTGCTTTCTGGCTACAGTCATTTTTTCAATGTATCTTCCAAACTTTTTCTTATCAATCTTTGAATTTCCAGTCTTCTTGACAGAGTAGGCAGTTAGCCAGACATGAGCAGGGAAGGGTTTTTTCCAAATGTTGAAAAAGCCAGAACCCACCAACCACCTCCAGAGCATAAATAGCTGGAGAAATCCCTGAGAGAAATGCAGATGCAACTCCCTGTACCCACTACCCTCAAAGGACCCACAGCTTCATTATAATACATTTACGTTGCAGTTTCTCACACACAGACACACACACACACCATACCCTTCACCTCCCCACCCCCATTTTCACAAGAAATGATGGGAAATATCCAAAATGGCTCACCCTAAGGAGACTAAATACAGAAACGGGGAAGGGGGGGGCGGGTGTGAAGGGAAGGGTGGGACCAAAGGAACAAGAAAGAAAATGTAGCTAAAAAGATGGAAGTGCTGACACTTTAGGGCTCCTGCACTCTCTCTCTCTTTCTCCTTGTCTCTGTGTCTCTCTCTGTCTGTCTCATAGTCTGCTCTATCTTCCTTTTGTTTTGGCTGCTAATAAATGCTTGCTTACTAAGAGTTTGACTCTGAATTCTTTCTGGGCCAAATTCAAGAAACAAGGACAGGAAGTGGGGTTCCCTGCTAACATTTGAGTCTCTCTTTTTCTGCAGCTTATCAGAAAACCAGCTCTGAGGGGTTTTTTGGTGTTTTGGTTTTTTTTTTTTAATCTGTTCTGTTTGTTTAATTTTCAGTTCAATGATTTCCTCTCTAATCCTTATTTCTCTTCTCCTTCTGGATTTAGGCTTTATTTATTTATTTCCCTAGCTCCTTTAGGTGTAAGGTTAGGTTGTGTATTTGAGACTTTTCTTGCTTCTTGGGGAAGCAAGAAAATACAGGGAATACAGGGAATACAGGGAAGGCCTGTATTGCTATATACTTTCCTGTTAGGACTGCCTTTGCTGCATCCTAAAAGTTCTGAACTATCCTGTTTTCATTTTCATTTGTTTCCATGTAATTTTTTAATTCTTTAATTTCCTGGTTGACTCATTCATTCTCTGGTAGCATGTTCTTTAATCTCCATGTATTTGTGATCATCCCAAATTTTTTCTTGTGCTTAATTTCAAGTTTCATAGAATTGTGGTCTGAAAATATGCATGGTATGATCTCAATCTTTTTGTACTTATTGAGGCCTAAGTGGTGACCTGGTATGTGATGTATTCTGGAGAATGTTCCATCTGCACTCAAGGAGAATGTGTATTCTGTTATTTTTAGGATGAAATGTTCCGAATATATCTGTGAAGTCCATCTGGTCCAGTGTGCCATTCAAAGCGATTGTTTCCCTGTTGATCTTCTGCTTAGATGACCTGTCCATTGCTGTGAGTGGGGTGTTAAAGTTTCCTAGTACTATAGTATTATTATCAATGCATTTCTTGTTTTTATTATTGATTTATAAATTTGGGTGCTCCCAATCTGGGGGCATAAATATTTATAATTGCTAGATCTTCTTGTTGGATAGACCCCTTTATTATGAT